AAATGGTGCCATTTCTCTTTTCTTTGGGCCTGTTTTTTTTTTTTCTTTTTCTTCACCCAAGGACTCCTCTCTAATTTTGAGTTGTGTTTTTTATCCATGAGAAAAGACTTTCCACGGGTAAATTTTGTCATGTGTGCGATGTATACAAAATATGCAAATGACAGGAAATTGCCGCGAATATTCCCCTGGGGGGTTCGCCCATTTACGAGATTTTGACACCTTCCGTATTTCTTAACTTTTATTTAAGTAATTAAATAAAAGTTTATTATTTATAAAAGTTAATTATTTATATAAGTCGGACGCTTTTTGCGATTTTTAAATTTTTTTCTTTTGCAAACGTTAGTTAAAATGTCTAACTTCAATCTAGTCCAAAAAAAAAAAAAAACATTTTTTTGGCCTCCGAAGGTAGGAAGCAACCTTAATTAAGCCTCAATGAATACACCATAAGAATTGAACTGCTGTTGTATCTCCCAACAGAGGTTTTACTCTTGTGATATTCCGCCTAGGATTGATCAATATGTAGCGCGAGTAAATTCTTAAAATCCAAAAACCTTGGATCTTATTTCAAGCTACAAACGTATTGTTGCTTTACTGCTAAGTAAGGTCCTTGTATTAAGTTGAAAATAAAATGAAATTACTCTAGAAAAACCTTTTTCCTCACTCACTCTGGAAATGTTTCAATTTTTGAGTAAAAATAACCCCCCAACAACTGTAGCTTGGACATTTGGCGGCTTCCTGGGGCCTTTATGAAATTGAGGTGAGTGGAGCCCCGAAAACCCCTTGTGGAGTAATTGGTCTCATCGTTTTCATGGGAACTTTGTGGAAAGCTTCAAGGCTCACCCAAAACTGCCTTTGTATTGAATGATTGCAAGAGCCGGTGACATTTTTTTTTCGTTTTACAGTGACAGATGAAAACACCTACATACTGACCACAGATGCTGATGTGAGGTTTACGCATGAATCAGTAGAGGCGCTACTTGATCTTATGGTGCGAGATCCTAACGTGGGCGCCGTTTGTGGCAGAACACATCCCTTGGGTGTTGGACCGATTGTCTGGTACCAGATCTTTGATTATGCAATTGGACACTGGTTCCAAAAGGTACAGTCCTGTTTATAGATGCCTTTGGATTTAGTGTTTAAAAGATACATTTTGTATTGCTTGTGAAAACAATTATAATAAAGTCTTTTTAATTCAAAGGGGATAGATTCCCAGATAACTGAAGCTACAAAAGCAAATGTATTAGTACCATAGTTATCACTTGCTCTCGGTTTGTAAATAATCGGGATCTTTTATTTGACTGGCTAAGTTTGATTTAGATCTAGAATGGAAGTTGGGGGGGGGGGGAGGCAGGGAAAGGCGAAAAAACGGTGTAATTTGTATTGCCCCACCCATATCTTCTCCGTCTTTTTAACTGTCGCTCACCCCCTTGGTACAAATTTCTTTCTCTCTCCACCATTCCTCTGCTGTAAAAATCAAAGACGGCAGCTACGTGTATAATTTTTAATTAGAAAAATTCTGAGCACTTCCTTCGCCAAAATTACGCCTGTTCTAGAGCCCAGTAATGTCAAGGGATTCCTTTGTAGAGTTAGAGGAAGAATGGTGGTAAATTTTGAGCTCAGTCATCGAATAAAGCTGACCAACATGCTCATGGACTTGTATGACATGAGTATTGAACAAAGTATAAGCATAAAAGAAACCTAAGTTTCATTTGAGAGATGCAACAGAAATGTATTAACCAGATGGGCTCCCATCACGCAGGTGGCTAACCATGTCCTTGGATCTGTTCTGTGCTCACCTGGTTGTTTCAGTGTTTACAGAGCCGCTGCAATCAGGGACGTGCTACCCATATATTCCTCCAAAGTTGACACATCATTCGATTTCCTCACCAAAGACATGGGTGAGTTTTTGTGTTCACGGAAGTACTTTTATATGGTCGTGTACTCTGATAACTCGGTAGTTGACGTTTCAGAACACTGAGCTGAAGTTATCATCAGAGTCAAGGATACTTTTATTTTGTAAGAAATAGACAACTTTTTTGAGACATGTTTCGGAATTTTGACCCCTGAAAAAGACTGCAAAATACCAAAAAGATTTCGAGACTGGTAAATGATATGGGAAGAATTGGGAAGTCTGAAGTTTTTTTTCTTTTATGTGGCGCAACAAATTCACTTAATGACCAAAACTGAACACTATGATCATCAAATTTTTCATTTGAAGGCAAACCCATGATCAGATACTGCTTTTCTACTCAGTCCATATGCTTGGTTGAGTTTTTGCACATTAACATGTCCGAATCCTCTTGACAAGTTAAAAGTAAGATTACACGTTGCTGTAACGTCTATAGGTGAGGATCGATGGCTTTGTACTCTGATGGTTCAGTCAGGCTGGCGTTTAGACTATTGTGCGGCAGCTGAAGATAGCACCTTCTGTCCAGACAACTTTGACGAATTCTTCAAACAAAGGCGGCGTTGGATTCCCTCGACTTTAGCTAATCTGGCCCTTGTTATCAGTCAGTGGAAACTAACTATATCAAACAACTATATTTCAATTGCATTTATTCTCTACCAGGCGTTGATGGTCTTCTCCACAATTATCAGGTTTGCTTGAAGTCAGAGAGGTTAAGGCAAAGATTATCAAGTTGCTTAATAGAAACGCTTCTCTCTCGGTGAAGTTCGTCGCGAGATTTCAAAACAACAACAACAACAAAAATCAGTGAAAAAAAATTGGTCTTAGCGCGCCGCTAACCTCTGGTAGTGAGGTGCTCAAGAAGTAGGCTCCCTCCCAGAGTTTTGCGTGGCGCGCTAAGTTCAATTTTTTTTATTTCGTTTTCTGTTTTTTGACTCGCGCGGCGGACCTTGCCAAAAAAGAAGAAATGTTCATAGTCTGGTGAAACGTGGAAGAACATTTGAAGACTTGTTACCTCCCAGGGCCAAGAAACATCTTTGCCTCATTGCTCTTCATCACCTTATGTTCATATTATGAAGTTATTTTCTTCATTTCCGGTCCAGATGATGTTTTCGTTCGTACTGAAATGACATTTTTTTTTATATACAGTCCTTCGACGGTTATTCTGATCATGGCGTCTGGTATGGTGTTTGCACAATTTCCAATTTTCAGCGAAACTGCAATACTCGTTCTTCTGATCCTTACCTCTGTTGGTTATGCTTTGATTTGTCTCTACACCTCGCAAGACTTCCAGCTAAAAGTTGCTTTTTTGTTAACAATGGTGTTTGCATTGCTGATGGCTTTTGTGACAGTGGGCGTAGCCGCACAAGTCGCTGATGACCTCTACGACCGTTCGCATCCAACTACTTCACCTCCAACTACTTCACCAGTGACTCAGCCAGTAAGATCCATAGTTCAGTCAACTAAGCTAACCGCCGTTGGTCTTTCCCACTCCCCACTTCCCACTGATACATGGCAGCACCTCCCTACTCCAAAGCCATGGCTTGCTGAGACGATTACAAATGCTACCACGGCTAGCTCTCCCACCGAGAATGCTGGACCCAAGCTTCCCGCTAATGTAAGCTCTCTGTATTTGGGTGGCTTGATTGGAATATTCGTTTTAGCTGCCTTACTGCATCTTACTGAAGCATATTGTTTGATCCATGGCTTGTGGTACTTGTTCTGCTTACCGTCTGGGTATCTGCTGCTCATCATTTACTCTATTTGTAACCTGACGGATCGTTCCTGGGGTATGTACAATCTTTATTTCTTAGCGCAGAAGTGTGCTTTTCGATTGAGTGTGGCTAAACCCAAACTAAAGTAATTAAACAACCAACCAATCAGAAGAAAGGAAAAGGAGCTGACGATAACTCAGCGTGAAAACAAGCGAACTGACTGAAGCGCGATTGGTTTTAGTTTTGGAAAAAAGTGACGCAAAAGGAGGTTCACCCCAGATTACGATCCACAGAACTGAAAAATTGCTTGCAAGGGCATGTATACTCTCGAGTCCCAATTTCAGGAAAGCTTGTCTTAGTTCGGTACAGAATGAGCGCACAGAAACTGGCGAGTATTACTACGCTTCCCCGGCTAAATATTTTCCTCCCGTTCTTTGTGACACTTTTGGCGCATTTCAAGTTTGCTACATATTATTTGGTCCTGACTTGCAGTCTTCTTTTTCGTCGAAATTTATGCAGGCAGTGTACTAGACTTCATATTGGTTTACCGGAGTAATAACCCGTCGCGCGATGTTGGAAGAACACAAGAAAAGTTTGTATCTTTTTTCAGTGTTTTCTCAACATCCCAAGAGCGTTAGTACGCCGGTAACCATTTCAAAGCGCGTTCTGTTACTTTTCAGTACGAATTATAGGTTCACCGGTGCAGTGAACTATAGGTTTTTTACCAAACAGGGCCCTTGTAATACCTCAGTTATTTTATAACTAACTCCCGGTTAGCTCAATTGGTTAGAGCGCTGGACTGTTGTGCGGGAGGTCGGGGTCGATGGTTCGAGCCTCGGCCGGACCAACACTCAAGGTCTTAAAATAACTGAGGAGAATGCGCCACCTTTCTATAATATCAAGAAATGGATAGACATTCTAGTCTTCTGGGATAAGGACGAATAAACCGTAGGTCCCATCTCCTGGGTCTAGTAATTAGTTAATTTGGTTAGGCCGGGGACGTTAAAGAACCCACTCACGAGATTACTGTGATGTGGTGTGGCCTGTTTACTGGGAATTGGGGGGAGGGGGGCACCTTTAAATAAGTTTCCTTCGATTGTTTGTAAACTGCTGATGCAGTCCGGCCAAAGTCCCCCGAAAAGGGTTGTGATGCGCATTTGATCATATCCACATGTTAATTTGCGCAATATAAATATTAAATTATTATTGTTATTATTATTATAATTATTGTCAGCTTTCTTAGCATAGGTTTGCCTCGTCTACAGTCGTGATCTCCTAAAAACCCCATACTTTTTTTTTTTTAAGAAAGCGTTTACGAGTACTATTTATTACTTTCTTGGGGATAGTGCTTTGTTTTAGGAGGGCGTGTTATTTTTGCTGAAGGAGGTGATATGTACCTAACTGTCTCTTTCTCAATTCGGTCACTTTTCCTCAGGTACAAGAGAAGAGAAAATTAAAAAGGTGGACGATGTTCCTTGGTATGAGAAGTTGTGGGCAAAGATCAGATCCATTTGCATATGCTGCGGACCACAACCAGCGCCTCAGCCTGCCGTCACTGACAGGGTCGATGGGCCTCCAACAGACTCAGAACCTCCGACTTCTCCAGAGGTCAGTGCCCCTTGCATCACACAGCTATCACTGGGAAAGTGCCGATATTCCCTTCCACCTCCCTCACAAACGTTTGATATTACTGTATTGTCCCTCCCATTCCCTCCTCCTCCCATCTCATTTTTACCCCATGGTATGACGTTTTTGTGAGGAAGAAAAACTTTGATTTACGCGTTATTCCCTACTAGGTTTGCTTTTGCCCCCAAACTCGTGCTATAGTCTACTGTTGGAACATCTTGAGGGTGGTAACAAAGGCAGAATTTTTTCGCTTGAGTATATGCTGCTTTCATTATGATTTGAAATGACGACGCCATGATAATTGTTTCATCCGACTATTTCTCGGATGCTGGTGGATTAAAAGAACTTTTTTCAACTTATTTTGTTATTTTTACTTGATCGCAGGAGACTGATTCGGACGCCGCCCCTCCCGTTCAGGAAAATGCTGACAGTGGGTCAGATGGTGCATCAGCTTCCTCTTTAGGAAGCGGTAAACTTGTGGACGAGCCACCTCCCAAGTCAGCCATGAAGCAGCCGCTGGTGCGTCGGCCTTCTGCACCTCGTGGTAAGTGCAACCTTGAATGTACACTTGATATTTGTAGTAATGTTGTCGGGGTAACCCTCTGAGAGTTGGCCGATGTTTTTTTATTTCAATTCTTGTATCGTTTTCGCGACTTACACTACCTCTGTACTTGTCTTAATCCCGTCAAGGGCGGATGCTCTGGACTGCGTGGTCTTAATCATTCCAACCAATCATATTCTTAAATGTGGTCCTCCTCAGTCAGTTCGGAACACGGAATGTTTCATGAGTATGACAGATTAAATTGCCGACTTACTAGTGCACTTGTGAACCTTAAGGTGTTGAAGTAGTTTCCACTCAAAGTAAGCTGTTGGTGTTGCCCTCTTGGCTGCTCATTTGTCAAGTTTGTTGTTGTGATTTAAATTGGAAATTGAAGAGTTTTAGGAGGAAAATTTTCTCTGATGCATCCAACCATTTGCATTGCAAGCTTTCGGATGCCGCTAACAGTAACCTTCGGCATCTAAAGTGTGTGTGCGTGTGTGTGCGTGTGTGTGTGTGTTTGTTATTTACTTGTGATGCTTTTTTATAAGATGGCCTGAAAGAGGACAGCGGTCGCCTGGGTAAGTGGCGCTATCCGGGGGACAAAAAAGTCACATTTGCTTCCAAGCTTCCACGGTTGCACCCTGAGACTCTAGTGGAGGACTGGCTTCAAAGAGAATTTCAAGTAAGCTTGATTAGTGCCCCTAGAACGTATTTCTATAAAGTATGGTAAAACCAAAACCTAAGTTATCTAAATGGGTACTGAATTAGATGGGAATGAAACGACTTACCAGGGCCCAGTTACTTAATGGGCGGATAACACTATCCAACTAATAAATCGCTCTTCAGCGAATGTGTGAACAAAACTTACTACGCTATCCACCCGGTAGAGATCTGGGACCAGGAGCTAAGAGGAACTTAAATGTTAAAGCAAATAAATAGGTGAAAGTCAGAAAATTTCGACTGATCAAGACGTATTGCTCCTAGTATGCGCCCGACGTTTTGAAATAGCGCAGAAGCTTTCTAAATCAAAGCCGGAGAAACCAATTAAATGAAGGATAAAATTCTAAACGCATTTTTTTTGTGTATTAAGTTGATGTGTACATACTTCTGATAGAATACAAAATACAATATGCTATACTGTTTGCAAGGTTGTTAGCCCTTCCAACTGTCTCTTAGTTTAGGCTCTGTTTGAACGAGTGATCAACTGCGTAATAATTCTCGTATTTCGTTGGTGCTAAATCCTGTCACGGTGTTCAAAGACGAATGAAAGCGTTTCGCTAATCGGTGGAAAAAGGTAGAGAAAATTACGCTTTTTGAACGTGTCAAACGAGATTTTTCCCTCTCTCTCCCTGTTCTCTTTTTTTCCTTTTGCCGACGAATTTCAAATGCAGTTCAAAATAAACGCAGCGTTACTCCTAAAAACCCTACCTTAAGTTAAATAGCGCTTTTGTTGTCGTTGTACTTTCTTGCAGATTTACGCGAACAACTTCAGAGACGGTGGTTATGATAGCGTCAGCTTCATCGTTGGTATGACAGACAAGGTGAGTAGTGGGTGTAACATGTACACTAGAGCTCCTCGTCAGTCTATTGTGTTGCACACTGAAGTTCACAAATAAAATTATTGAGATGTAACATTGTTTGTCTATGTGAATTATTGCAGCGCTTTCCAAAGTGATGGGGAGCTGCTCATCAATATTTGCGAGTCATGAAGCGTACCCCTGAACTAAGTATTTCGAAACGTTATTTTTCTTATCAGTCACTGCCCCATATTTTGAGATCTGAGTTACTGCTTGCTTGACTGCGGGAGCGAGTTGCAGTCTCACCAAGATGTTGAGAATTGTTTTGTTTTACCTTTTTGTTCCAAACAGCACTTGAAAGCCATCGGAATTGAGAAACGTGGTCACCGAAAGAAGTTGTTGATGGAAATTGAAAAACTACCCCAAATAGATATTCCTCAGGAAGTTCCGGTAATGATTGAATTAATCACGACTACTTTGTCTCTGAAACTAAATAGCCCTGGTTCTGCAATCCTGTTTGATCCTTTAATTACTGCATGTTTATCAAATCCTAGGGACGATAAGAAATCGTTTTGACCCCAAGCGTTCGCATGGATAATAGTTCGTGCCATGACACGATAGTGCAGTGCCTGGTTAGGAAGGCTGATGAAAAAATTAGGTCTATCAAATGATTGGAAGTGACGTATAAGTAAATTACAAACACTACCTTAATAAATGATTTGAACAATTCTGTATCAGTAATCTGCAAACTTGGTTTAGCGTAGGCGTAAAAAGTCTTGAAAGCGCTGCAGTGTATACAAGGCCATTGTTTCAGTTTCACTGAGCGCGCAAGAATTTTCGGCTGTATTTTGTCCGAGGTTTATACCTCGAATTGTTGTTTGGCACCACTTTAATGAGATCTTCATTTTCAGGAAAATGTCGAGGACTGGTTAAATGAGCTGGGACTTGATGAATACTGGACTAATTTCACTCAGAGCGGCTACACCGAACCTAGAATGTTAGAAGATCTAAAAATTATGAACAAGGAAACGTTGAAAGAGACCTTCGGAATAACCAAACCAGGCCACCTTGATAAGCTATACAAGGCGATCCAGAAAGTCCAGTACCCAACTGAAGGTAAATTCTGCCAATCTGAGCCATAGAAATGAGAGCACTTGTCGATAGAGCGTCGTAAAACCAAAGCAAAGTTATCACAACGCCCAATCAGAGGAAAGGAAAATACCTTCAGGAGCCAATGAGAACTTGAAGTAAAACCAAGCAGACTGCCCAGAGCGCGGCAAAGCGCGGGCGATCAAGTAGTGATTAGTTTAAGTGTTGTATCTGATTGGTTGAATGAGTGGCTTCAGTTTTCTGGACCAATCACAGAGTGGAGTTAAGTAACGCCATTGCAATTTCGGGTTACTTTTGGCAGTCAATTAGAAAATGCTCTATCGCAACAGACTAGTAATTTTTACAACGCGCGGGAAAACGCTAGTGGTGACCAAGTCGTGATATCTTCTAATTGTAGACCTGACTGGATAGGTGGGTTTTGAGAGCTTTCCAGGCCAGTTACAGAGAGCTGACGCAACGCGAGAACAATGCATCTTTGATAACCAACAACAAACAACTGAAAATTGCTGTTAACTACACAAATGAAATACAATTTTTTTTCTTTTTCTAATGAAGAGAAGAGTTTGTTTTTTTAGGGGGAGGGGATTTTTAAAGAGGTGATGATGGGTGAATTTTTCACGAAAAAGAGGTATTGGAAAATAAAACAAGGGTAAAACAGAAAGCTCTTTGTTTGCATAAACTAGTTAGGTCATGGTTATCGCTTAACACTCCCCCCCTCCCACCCTCCCCCCCCCTCAGGAGCGACCAGTAAGTTACTTCTCCTTTTTGTGTCAAGATTTTGCCCAGTAGATAGCTGGTTGGTGGGACAAAACAAAAAATTACTAGCACCTTTTTTTATTTGATACCATTTTCTCAGAGCTAAAGTTAAAAGAAATGTATGGCAGATAGTAAGAAGAATTTATTTTGAGATCTCAGGGGTGAGAGAGCTCAAGAGACTTTGTTTTCTTTTGCAGCTCAGAGAAGAATTCGTCACACTCGTGAAGAAACGAACAAATTGCAGGTCATGGATTTAAAAGTGGATAATCAAGACAGTGGCTATGAATACGAATTTTGGGAAGGTAGATATTGCTCCTTTACTTTCACGTTCTCTCTATTTTGTGATCTGGTAAGCTGAATTTCACACGAATTTTGGTTGGCTCTTGTTATCTGCTGGAAAGATTACGTCATCATTAACAACCTTCTTATTTATCTTGAAAAAAAATGAAAAAAGGAAAAGAAAGAAGAGATTCAATGTTGCCATGGTGGAAACATCTGAAATACAGTCAGCTGCGCCTCGTTTGCCACTTTTTTGATGTTGCCACATTTTGACTTCATCTATGATTAATTACTGAACAGATCTACGGTAACACGGAATCTATTTGTTGAAGACATTTTAGAATTCCAGCTTTTCCAAATTTTGCCCTGTCTCTGTTTATTTTCCCGAGTAAATGCATTTTGGCGTTGTTTAAAAAATCGTTCGTTTCTTTTTTATGAACTGACTCTAGTTGCCGAAATAATTGTAATCTCGTGAAATCGATTCACGAATACCCGACCACATTTTTTTTATGAAAACAATAGCCTTCTTAAAAACAGCAGAAACACCAACCACCAAGACTGCATAAATAAAATCAACAATGATGACAACAACAAAAATAACATGTGAACAAGAAAAAGGTTACACTGCTTACTCGACTAACAAACCAGTTGGCGAGTAAGGATAAACAGAGGGATCATTAAATTGAGCCGTTATACGGCTTACGTGATCAGCCGTCGATAGAAGTTTCTCGAAATTTCTCGAAGTTATTTTACGTGTCATTCGACTACGAAGAGTGAAAAACGTTTTCTCTCCAGGAATCCTGACCTTCTACAACCCTTAGTGGGGTTGATGAACAATTTCCCGTAATCGAATTGTGTACTTAACTATCTCTTAACTTTGGAAGAGGGAGGCGGGCTTCCTTACATATTAGGTATTAGGCATGTTATAACAGAATTTGCGTTGGGTTTAAGTAGAGTCGTTACGACTCGACTCTGAAAGGGAGACATATATAGTACCTCTGCTTGGAAGATGTTGTCAACAGTGAGATTAGGCAACACATCAGTGGCAGAAGCAAAAGTTCGCTCTAATTTTCCTCTCTTTCTTCTAATCCTTAAATCAAACCAGTGGAAAAACAAACTTCTTGTTCACATTTAGTTTAAAAAATTTAACTTGCCTGTACAAACGGTTTTGTCGACAGGTCTGCGTCAACTTTGTCTCTTACCTGAGTCAGCTGTGTTTGGGGCCGTCGAGGAACTCAAAGAGAAGCTTGAAGATCTCCGTAATTACACTCTGATGGTTTTCTTAATTGCAAACGGGATGTGGATTATTTTGATCTTGGCTCTAATGAGACAGAGTCACTTGCAGGTCTTGGGAACCAACGTGCTGGGTCTCGCGTTTCTCTGTGTTTACGGACTCATCATTGTGATTCAGTTCTTGACCTTACTATGGCACCGAGTCGAGACGTTTTTCCACGTGATTGCGCGCGCACCGTGGAGGCGTGGTCAGATGCATATGTCGTGGGCGTTTGATGATGAGAATCTGCCTCCTCCTCCCACTGAAGCTGACTTGGCGCGAGTTCGTAAAAAAGCAAGAAGACCTCGCAGGCCTCGCACCCGACGGTATTCGAACCAGCCAAGTGTATCAACTGATGAGAGAGGAAGCCTCCTGTCAGATGGTAGACCGTCTTCGAGTTACGGCTCGAGGGAACGAGATATACCCCATCTGGTTTAGCTCCAGCTTGTGTCTGGGACATTGAATATAGAACATCCTAGAGCTTCATAAAAATGGGAACAGTACAGATTACTTGGGCTAAAGGACCAAGTTAAGTTGAACTGGGCTTCAATGTAGGAAGTGGAGCTTTACTTGTTCTAGGAGCAACAAATTGTGTTCGCGAAAATAAGGCTCTCTTAATAACGCAATTTTATCCGAGACAATTTTGATTTATTTTGGTCAGTGGAACTGATTCAGAGGTTAATAGTAGTTGGCTGTTGTTTATCAAAGTTTCTTGCTCAGGGCGATTTCCCTGGAAACTTAAACATGATTTTTACTGCTCTTTTCATCATGTGAAAAATTTAAATTGATCCGGACTGCCGCATCAGATGCACCGGCGCATATTTCAGGCGCTATTATTGATTCAATAGCGCCCCACTGTAGAAAAAGAAAACGTTTAAAGAAGACAATCATCTATACAGAAATGAAATGACGTTTCCAGAACAGTTTCCAATACTTTATTCGGTGACAGCAGGAAAAAAATTCCGTTTTCTGGTAAAACGTCAATTTTAATTATGAATCGAGATTTTTTTCAAACTAGATAACTGTTTACTCTGAAATGTTATGAAATAATATCTTGTAGAATTGTTACTGCTAAGAGGAGGTTTTAATGATTCCAGACTACAATTTTTCGAAAACGTTGAGAGGAGACAATTAACCGTACAGAAATTAAATGACGTTTCCATGACAGTTTCCGATGCTTTATTCAACGAGATACCTCGAAAAAATTCCCGTTTTTAGTAAAATGTCAACTTCAGTTATAAATCGTAATCTTTCAAACTAGGTAACTTTTTAATCTGATTTATTACTTCTCATGAAATCATATATTCTAGAATTTTTACCACAAGTATTTCTTATTAAAATTTATAATAAAGTTCAGATATAACGCGTGCTGTCATTGGTTGAAAGGGCGTGCTCTATCCGAGTATAGAACATGGATTTGAAGCTGTCGCGCCATCTGCCAATTTGTAACATGGCAGACCAAATCCCGACTTTTTCTCTCGGGTTTTTATTCGACCCAGAAGTCCTCTACGACCTAGAAGACGAAAGAGAAAACGAGCTATTAGCGTCGATCGATTTAGAGGATACTGTCAATGAAAATGCGACCTACCCTTTAACTGAAAGTGAGGTTTCCAACAAAGTTAATTACGAAAACAATGAGCGCGGCGGCAATTTAAACAGGCAAAGATTTGAAAACATGTCAAGTGCCGCAATAGACGAGATANTGCTGTGATTTAATAAAGCTGCATTCTATAGACATATGAATTATGGTCATTCTTTAACTCGCTTGCAAATCATCAAGCAACGATATCCTCAGAGATACTGTACACTTGACCTTAAAGAATAAGATTAAGGCACAACTGCTTGATTGTACCTGTAATATTCTCCAAACTTGTCTTTTGATGTATAGTTTCATGTCAAAGATGTGTTATTCTTCATAAACACTTCCCATCAGTTGTTTTGAGGCACTCAAATCAGACTATTTTGCCAGAAATTTAATGGCACAAACTAAAGAAATGAGATTGAGTGGAAGACAATATTGATTAGTTATAAAAGAGCATAAAGAGCCTGGGAAGGGGTAGATAGGAGGCTTGTAAATACTAAAATGAAAGATAGATTATTTCCCTCAAGTAGTTTATTTATCCAAGTGCCTCAACTGCCAACCTCATGTTTGCAGGCTTAAATTTGGCCCATATTTTTATTCACTAACTCAAATCTCAGTTGTCAGTTATATGCAAGTTATTTCTCAGTAGACTGTTAAAATTTTTGACCAATTATGATTCATAAAACACAAAGTTCTTTTAACTTTAGAGCCTACATAAGCTAAAAGTATTTCAAGACAAGTAAATTTTAAATCCTTCATAATTGAGTAACAACATGCCATTCTGTCATTGCCAGAATTTTTTAACTAGTAACTCCCTCTTTTTTATTGTTTAAGCCCTTTTGAGTTGCTCAAGCTGATATATTAAGTCATAGAATAAGCATTTGAATAAAATCTCTCAGTATTTCCTTATATTTAACAAAAAATGGATAACTTTCTCTATTCAGGTACTATTCATACATCCAGCAGGACTGCATTTTGTTTCGCTATAGGAATAACAGTCAGTTTGTCAATGTTAGCTTTTGTCTCTTTGACAATAAAGGGTAGGGCTACAGTACAACAAATGTATATCCAGTACGGTACAGGTGGAGTACTCCCAAGAGGCCAAAACCATAAGCCACGCCTGTTTCCATCGCGTAGATGGTGTGAAATAACAGCGACTGCAAACACGTATGGAAGGGATCGAAGAAAGTAATTGTTCTGTGCAAGCCACACTTGTAATATTGGCACCACAATGAAGACAACTGTCATAGTGTGAAGAAATGGTCTGTGGTTAAGTTGAAGGGCATCCTGTACAATATAACATTGACAACTGATAAATAAACATAGATTGTATTCAATGGAATTCTCAAGCATTTATGCTAAGTGCAGAGCACATGACAAATTCAATCTTACACTCTCACAATGAAAACTTTGATTTCTCATGCATTTAACCTTTCAGATGGTTGGAACAGATTCCAACAGTGGATAGTTCTTGAAATGAACAAAGGAATGCATGTCTTAGCTACTTCAATTATTTTACATTTTTTCAGGAGACCATGCCCCTGGGCACTCACTCTGCCAGCAAATCAATTTAAGAGTTCTGCAACATCCCTGCAGCAATATTCTGGAGTCTCCTGGTTGCAGGATGAACCTCGCAGTTTTCTGCAGAGTTTCACATGGATAAAGCATGGATTCAGGTATTTAGGGGCAAATTAAATCAATTGTACCTCTATAAAACACAATATTTTCAGGGAGGTTTCTGATCAAGGATACTTACGTTTTCTTGCTCACTTCTTCAAATAATTTGTGCTCATTTTACGGTAAAAGACACACTGGCAAATCATATACTCTAATCATGGTGATCATTGCGTGAAATGGCCGATATCTAACATGTTGGATATATAAGCAGATCAATTCCCTTGTATTCATCTGGTGTGCCCTGTAAGGAAATTTTCTTGGCTCATCACTGCGAGTCGATCCCCATTAAAGTTAGGCAATCAGAGAGTCAATCATAAAAAAGAATTCACCTCATGGCTTTTCTAAAGGGAGCCTGGGGGACAAACTTGAAAGGCCAAGTTGCGATTGGGATGAAAAAAAAAAAAAATAATAATCTTAATGCCCCTTGCATAATTGTCCCAAACTCTAAAAATCCCTTCGTGTTCAGTCGAGGCTATAGAGGCACGATAAAGCCCTCTTCTTTAACTGATTATTGTGTCTTACCTGAAGTTTGAAAGATTTAGCTGCAATAAAATGATCGATATCGACCGCACAAGCAATGACACCACAAAGAACCCCGTCGATCAGATCTCTTCGGACATGGATCTCACAAACGATACACCAACTGAAGAAAGCAATGATCCCATGGGCAGCATTGTCAACAAGAGCTCCAATGTAAGTGGCGTACTCTCCTTGGACTGATAAAAACATGGCGTCAGTTCCATAACAAATGCATCCAAGAAAAATATATGGTACAATTNTTTCAGACTGTCTATTTAAGTTAGAACAAATCAATAGAATTAAGTGTCTTTTACTTGTGAATGCTTTCGTTTTTAGAAAATTATTATATTGCTCAAGTGTCTGGAGCAATACCAGCAATAGCAAAATTGACAAATTACAAAAAGTTCAAAACTTTGCTGGACGAATTGTTCTGGGATTTAGAAAATATGACCATATTTCCGAAGGACTAAGATCATTGAATTGGCTCCCTTTTAAAGATAGACTTAATTGACTGATGCAATTATGGTTTTCAAGTGCATTAACAATCTCACCCCAGATTACCTCGCAAATAAGTTTAGGCTGCGTTCAGTTCTTGTGTTCATGACAGGGAAACTCGATCAGCTAGTACCCTGAATATACCTTTTTACCGCTTTTCAACTGGTCAGAGGTCTTTTGCTTATAGAGGGGCGAAACTGTGAAACTCAATGAGCAGTAATCGTAAGTGTTTTAAGAGTCACTCTACCAAACCACCGCGTGAGGGGCGGCACAAGGTCGGAAAAATGGACCCCTTGATATTTTTTCCAGAGATAACCTATAGTGTGCTAAGAATCGTGATATAAGTTTTAGGTTCTAGAGTTTTTACATTTTTGAGAAAATTACGAAAAACCATCGACCACCCGTGAAGCCGAAAAATCACAGAAATGAGGTTAAATTTCATGATCAGATAATCGAACTCGCGTGAAGGTGCATAACCAATTATGGTTTTCCTTAGTTTATAATTTTATTTAGGAGGTATTGCTAAGCTGCCTTGATGATATTTTAGACTTACAATGGTAATTCCGAATTCCTGGAGAGGAAGCGAAAAGAACCGAAATTTCTAGACTCTGAAAATCAAAAATTCCATACCGTTTTCAAACACCTCAAAACATACTCGGTATTATGTAGAATTATTTCAAAATTAAATTATAGTGAGTACAAGAGCTGTTTTTGAACGTGATATAATTTTTTTCTTGGCAAAAGTTATTTCTGAGGCGAGAGGCCCAATGCAAGTTGACCCAATTTGACCTTTCGGAGCGGATTTTGTTTCACCAGGAAATGTAAACAATTCGACTAGCCTTAGCTCGCTTTCAGAGCAGACCATTGAAAAAACCCTGCCATTTCCTAATATAACTGCCCAGTAAACCTGAGATAACACTTTGATGACAGCTTACCTTCCAAATGGGTTTTTGAAGGCAAATAACTTTGATGTTCTTCGCTAATGATTTTCCTGTCTTGCTGCCGTGCTCAGCCACCGGCCTTTTCATACGGCTACGGCACCTTTAGTTTCTCTGGTTTGTGTAATATTTTTGCGGGACCTGGATCCATGTCTTGCATATAAAGCCTCCTCTGGGTACCTATTGAATGTTTTTAATGAAAAGAGGCAAGAAGTGAAGGAACTAATATTGAATTGAAAAATAGACCCAGATCGATGTCACGCAATCTCCACATCTAAGTGATCACGTGCCGCAAATACATCCGCATGGATATTTTTGTCTTGCTTTTGCTCATTTCTTCATTTTCCTCCTCACTAGCATAAAATGTTTGCGTTTTGTATTTTTTTTTTTTTGTTATCACAAGCCTATTTTGAAGGAGAGTTCTTTGTATACAATACTTTGAATCGGTGTATGTACACGCAACACATCTACTTTTCCCATTTTCTAGTGACTGTGCAACAAACTAGAAATCCTAGCTAGTTTTAGCTCCAAAATTCAAATGCCTCGGCGGGTCCATTGTTAATGATTTCCTAAAGCTAGATAAAAGGGAATAGTAATGTATATCTGAAAAAGCTATTGGCCGCAAAGCGAGTTTTTGTTATCATTTTTGTATTAATTTATTTACCAATTTGCCCATGGCAGGTGAACACGCGAATAGGTCGTCTTCGTGGTGCTTCTAACTTTTTCGAAATTATGTTGAACAAGATAGCTTTCGATGCAGAAGTACGCACACGCTTTTTAATGATTCTTCGAAAACTATCCCTTTGGAAACTGAAAATGATTTGCTTTTGGGTTCGCACGAGACATGTTTCTTTTCGTACGACCATAGAGCATGCCGTAAAACTGTTTTGAGGGTTGCCAACGAGAGAGATCTAAGTTTAAAACAGATAATAACCAAACGCAAATAGATCTGTGGCAAGCGCTTTGTTAACCTCTCAAAAAGATCTAAATATAGAATTCTCACAGAATTCGAGCTGTTACCTTTTAAAATCGAACTTGTCGATCGCTTGCCCGATAAGCGAAGATTTGTTAGAGAAGGCGGACAAGCCACTCTACAAAAAAAGATCGAATGACCCCGAATGCCCGTTTTTCCAGTTTTCACCTAAGGAAAAGAACATGAGCTACAATCTTAGAGATACGTCAGTCTCTGTCCCTAAAATCCATACTGAAAGGTTTAAGAACGTTTTTAGTAATAGGATAATTATCTTAAGATAATAGTTTCCCTTGTGAGTTTATGTTGTAACTTAGGATATGTGATTTTATCTTAAGAAATAAAGATTATGTTTATTGTTCGTTGTTTAGCAAGTGCGAGGCTCCTAACTTTTTCTTAAATTCAGTAAACCTTCTTACGTGGAAAAACTGAACTCCACTGGATTAAAATCTTTACAACTTTACAAAGATATGTGCAGGGAAATGAGTTTAGGTCTGTTTAAGTGTATTGTATAACTTGAGCGTTCACTTGGTCAAACAAAAAAATTGAAATCAAACATTAGCACACATGTGTTTACTTCTGTCGAAATTGAGTCATTTGCTCTGCGTCATTGGTTAAAGAATTGGAAAATGGAGAGAAAATGCTCGTTTCAGCGGCTAGTTGGTGGCCAGTGCGGTCAAGACCCTCGAAGCACTAAAGTCCAAGATTTAGTTTCCTTGCTAACTTATAACAAGGATATATCACCGCCAAAAAAGCTCCCTTG